TTTTTGTGGTCGGGTACCTTCCAGTCCCAGTCCGTGTGATTGCTGTGCTTAGACCTGCATGGCCCTTATGATCCTGAGGGAGGACACATGAACCTCGTTGGCAGAGGGCACCAAGTTTCCCCTCGGTCTCCAGACTGAACCCTGCACCCCCCCCCCGTCATCTGGCCGCACCTCGACCTTGATCCTGTGGTGGGAGTGTGCTGCTCCTGTGGGCAGCGCCGAGTGTACGGGTGGCCGAGGTGCTCCTGGGTCTGCTTGAGCTCGAGCCAGTCTGAGTGTAACCCCGACCGCACCCTGCCATGAGAAAAAGCACACTAGCGAGGGCTGCCATCTCCTCCAAGCTGCCAAGCAGATCTTTGCATGCGTACCACCAGGAAGGAGGGAAAACACCTATTTCTGTCCCAACTGGGAAATAAAAAGCCAATGCACGCTTCTTTGAGTGCAGGCTGTATGGGGGGGGGGCGGGGGGGGGGGGGGGGGGGGGGGGGGGGGGGGAGTCACAAAAACAGCTGAGATAGGAGTGGAAATGACAGACAGCTGAGGACAGCTAGCCCTGTTTTTACCCCACAGAGGATAAATAAAACTGTCCATTTTCATTCTATGGTCGTTCCTCATGGGGTTGAGATTGTTTTGCTATATTCTACTCACTAAAAGTAAGTCTGTTGTGTGATTTATAGGCTAAAAAAACATGACTTACACTATCGTACAGGCCGGCCTATTGAGTATGTGATGAGGATTAAAAGGGTTGTTTGAACAGGAGCAGCAGCTCCGTTGAACAGAGACACAGGATATTGATTCTGCACAAACATCGGGCTCATTACGTTGTGTCTTGAAGAAAACGTAATTATTACAGTAACTGCTTCACTATTCTACTCTCAACATGGTTAAACCTGCAGCTGATGATGAATGTTAGTCTGTGGGAAATGAATTGCGGTGCTCTATCTATCTATCTATCTGACACACACACACACACACACACACACACACACACACACACAGAGGAAGAAGTAATCTAGCCAACATAAATGAGCTTTTTCTTCTCCATAATAAAACTTTGCACTTGATGGAAATGGCAGCCAAGTACGGAAGCCCTGAGGGGAAAAAACGTGACGAGTTTTAAATTGTTTTGGTCAGGATCATTCCCCTAACTGTTTGTTGTTGTAATACTTATTTCAGCCACAAGAGGCTGAAGTTCACCACCACCCATTATGTTCTAATTAGGAGATAAATCATCCCTGTTTTTGACAGATTAATGTAGATTAAAATACATTTCTTGGCCAAAGAAAGACATGACATTAAGATGCATAACTTGCCAACACTTAATAAATGTACTTTGTGTTTGGAGGGTTAAAGAATCACCTGGAAGAAACTATGAACGCTTGTAGTCCTCTTTAGAACAAGTGGTGCACCTCTTGTGGCCAACATGAGTATTACAACAAGAAAGATTATCCTGGAAAAACCCAGTTCCACTTGTTCTCAAGTCATAAACACCGGAGAGAAAACTATTTAGATCTTCTTTCTTATCTCTCAGCGCTTCTGTATATTTAAGTCACAACCAATTTGTGACAAAAATAATCACAATTTCAAAGAAGAACCAATTCTCCCTTTGAGCCAAATGCGTCTGTGTCAAAACAACCCGGTTTGTTTGCTTTCATCTGATGATTCATCGCACTGATTCTTATCAAAGACTAGCCTAAAGGTCAGCGATCGCTTCACCACAGATTAAAACACAGTTCCTATCTGTCGGGCCTGATGGTTATTAAAAGGCGATGCAGGGATTTAGCCATATCTGGAGGTGCAGAGAGCCGACGTGTCCCCCTCATCCTGTTTCTTCTCCCCCGGTGTGGAAGGCTTCTCGTCCTGAAACCCACAGCACATCAATCACGGAGATTACTTCCACCTGAGCAGCTTGTACTCCGTGTTCCCATCAAGACGAGAGATAACACGACCTACGCTGTCGTCTGCTCGCCGCAGAACACACTTCCTAAAATAAAATATAAAAAGAGTGTGCGTGCATTTATTCAGTAAGATGATAAACCCCGACTGTTTTCATTTGAAATGCTAAACTAGTGGAGGCACATGAGATTCCTTTCATTGCTCACCGTCTCCCACATTTATATTCTCCCGCCACTGCAGAAGAACGTTTCAAACCGTTCTATCGGCCTTTTTTGGGGATAATTGACATTATTTCATGTGCGCGTTTTATTTTTACATCTGCTTATTTAAGTTAATAATCCTACCGTATAAATGGTACATATAGGTTTACTAAACACACCTCTAGTGTTGGTTAAATAGTACAATCCCTCTGTAAAAGCATTCTTATAATACTAAAACATAACTTGTGATTGCAAAGAGTATTAACAGTTTATTTTACTATTCTTCTTTAGTTTAGTACAAATATATATACGTGTTGTAGAGCTCCTGGTGCGTCTGCGTTGGTGTGTTTAGATTCTTTAGTGTGTATCTCCCGTCCTCTGCTCACTTCCTGCAGAACCTTTCCTTCCATATAAATCCACCGGGTCATTCGTCCCTCTTGCCAGAACACACAGACACTCAAGGCCACGTCTCTCTCTCTCTCTCTCTCTCTCTCTCTCTCTCTCTCTCTCTCTCT